CCCATGTTTTGTTTTGTTTTGTTTTGTTTTAATAACTGTGTAATTCTTGTGGTTTTTGTTTTTTGTTTTGAGGCAGAGTCTCATTCTGATGCCTGGGCTAGAGTGTCGTGGCATCAGCCTAGCTCAAACCTCAAACTCCTGGGCTCAAGCGATCCTCCTGCCTCAGCCTCCTGAGTAGCTGGGACTACAGGCATGCACCACCATGCCTGGCTAATTTTTTCTAAATATTTTTAGTTGGGCAATTAATCTCTTTCTATTTTTAGTAGAAACGGGGTCTCACTCTTGCTCAGGCTGGTTTCGAACTCCTGACCTTGAGCAATCCTCCCACCTCAGCCTCCCAGAGTGCTAGGATGACAAGCGTAAGCTACCATACCCGGCCAGTTCTGTATTTTTTAATGATATTTTTTCTTTAATTTTTTTTCCCTTGGCTTCAACTGAGAACCCAGACCCCTTGAGTGATATTTTCATCAAATTTTACTCAAATGCAGAATTTTTACTTTTTTAAAAGCCATATTAGGCTGGGCGTGGTGGCTCATGCCTATAATGCTAGCACTCTGGCAAATATCACTAACAGAGCATCACAGAAGCCAGATTGAAATTGCAATGGGTAAAAATTTAACTTCCTTGATTTGAGGAGTATTTCTCTTGATTGCCAGGAAGGATCCACTGATGTTCATACCCCTAGCCAGTGTAGCACAAATGCCTGTGGTGTGGGGAAATTTCTAAAATCACTTTTAGGTCCTCTTCTCCTTCCCTCTCTGCCATCAGAATGAACTTTGTATCTTTAAACTCAGACCTGTTGGGACCTGGCACTCCCTCCCTCACAGGCTCCAAATCCAGACTTTTCATTGACCATATTGAGATGGATTCCCTCAGAGGAGCCGGAAACCACTGTTTTTTTATTGTGAATCTTTAAATTCTGCAGTCTTAATTAAACATCCTCAAAATCAAGGTCTTCTTGGGAAAGGAGTTAATATGTTAAATGGGAATTATTCCTCATCTCTCTTAGCTTTCCCTATTCAAATCATCAAATAAAGACTTCCTTGGGCTTTGTAACTTTCCCTTTTTGCAGTACATGGAAATAAGGGAATTGAAAGTTATTGTATACCATTACTGGAGGTTGCTTATGACCTGCCTGAAATATGATTTTTAATGAAAATTAATCTTAAAAGCATAGACACAATTAGGAGAGAGAGATAGGAAGGTAGGGTGGGAGGGGAAGGAAGGAAGGAGAGAGAGGGAGAGAGAGAGAGAGAGAGAGAGAGAGAGAAAGGAAGAGCAAGCAAATGAATCACTGGCTCGATTAAAATATTCCTGGGCTCTGATTCCATGCCCATCTGACAACCTTCTGAGGGTTGCTCTGAGTTCTCCACGTGTCCTGATGACAAGATGAGAGAGCTTTAAACAGTGAGCGTGAGGATTTATTTGTGGAAACTGACATTCTAATTCTAAAATTTATATGGAAATACAAAAGACCTAGAAAGCCAAAGCAATCTTAATGAATATTACTGCAAAATTTACACTACCAGATATCAAAACTTTCAGTAAGCTGCAACAATTAAGAAAATATGGGCTGGGCGAGGTGGCTCACACCTATAATCCTAGCACTCTGGGAGGCCGAGGCAGGAGGATCGCTCAAGGTCAGGAGTTCGAAACAGCCTGAGCAGGAATAAGACCCCGTCTCTACTAAAAATAGGAAGAAATTAGTTGGCCAACTAAAAACATATATAGAAAAAATTAGCCAGGCATGGTGGTGCATGTCTGTAGTCCCAGCTACTCGGGAGGCTGAGGCAGGAGGACTGCTTGAGTCCAGGAGTTTGAGGTTGCAGTAAGTCTTCCTAGTCTTGCTAGAGGTTGCTAGTCTTTTCTATAAATGGTGCTGAGTCAATTTAACATCTATATGAAAAAAAATCACAAACAAAAATTAACTCAAAATGGAGCACAGACCTAAATGTAAAGTCAAAACTATAAAACTGCCGGGCGCGGTGGCTCACGCCTATAATCCTAGCACTCTGGGAGGCCGAGGCGGGCGGATTGCTCGAGGCCAGGAGTTCAAAACCAGCCTGAGCAACAGCGAGACCCCGTCTCTACTATAAATAGGAAGAAATTAATTGGCCAAGTAATACATACAGAAAAAATTAGCCGGGCATGGTGGCGCATGCCTGTAGTCCTAGCTACTCGGGAGGCTGAGGCAGCAGGATTGCTTGAGCCCAGGAGTTTGAGGTTGCTGTGAGCCAGGCTGATGCCACGGCACTCACTCTAGCCTGGGCAACAGAGTGAGACTCTGTCTAAAAAAAAAAACAACTATAAAACTTCTGGAAGAAAACAGAGGAGAGAATTGTAGTAATCTTATGTTTGGTGAAGAGTTCTTAAACATGACACAAAAAGCATAAAAAAGAAAATTGATAAATTGGACTTCATCAAAACTAAAAACTTTTGCCTGATAAGGCAAGCCACAGACCAGGAGGAAATATCTGCAAAACATATTAACAAAGGACTTTTTTGTATCATTAAGAAACTACAGTTCAGGGTGGTCACAGTGGCTCACACCTATAATCCTAGCACTCTGGGCAGCAGAGTCTGGAGGATTGCTTGAGGCTAAGCGTTCAAGACCAGCCTAAGCAAGAATGAGACTGTCTCCACAAAAAAAAAAAAAAAAAAAATTAGCTGGGAGTGGTGGCTTGTATCTGTAGTCCCAGCAATTCAGGAGGCTGAGACAGGGGGATCACTTGAGCCCTGGAGTTTGAGGTTGCAGTAAGTTATGATGCCACTGCACTCAAGCCTGGTTAACAGAGCAAGATTCTGTCTTAAAGAGAAAAAAGAGGGAGGGGGGCATGGGCAATATATGTAACCTTAACACTTGTACCCCCATAATACACTAAAATAAAAAAGAAAAAAAGAAAAAAAAGAAAAAAAAGAGAGACCTACAATTATTCAGAATGACAATTCAATTTTTAAAAAATGGGTGAAAGATTTAAACAACCATCAAAGTGGTAACAAACACGAAAAGACACTCAACATCGTTAGCCTTAGTCTTTTGAGAAATATAAATTAAAACCACAATTTATACATACAACTACGATGGCTAAAATTAAAAAGATTTACTATACCAAGTGGTGGCCAGGATATAGAGGGACAGAAAATTTCAATCACTGTTGGTGGGGATGTGGTACAACCATTTCAGAAAAAAAGTTTGGCAGCTTCATAAAAAGGTAAACAAACATCTGCCATATGACCCAGCCATTCCACTCCTAGGTATCATTCAAGAGAAATGAAAGCGTATGTCTAGGCCAGGCGCAGTGGCTCATGCCCGTAATCCTAGCACTCTACAAGGCTGAGGAGGAAGGATCGTTTGAGCTCAGGAGTTCAAGACCAGCCTAAGCAAGAGTGAGACCCCGTGGCTACTAAAAATAGAAAGAAATTATCTGGACAACTAAAAATATATATAAAAAATTAGCCGGGCATGCCTGTAGTTCCAGCTACTCGGGAGGCTGAGGCAGGAGGATCACTTGAGCCCAGGAGTTTGAGGTTGCTGTGAGCTAGGCTGACGCCATGGCACTCTATCTAGCCAGGGCAAGAGAGTGAAACTCTGTCTCACAAAACAAACAAACAAAAAAAGCATATGTCTACACAAAGACTTGTACAGACATGTGCATAATAGCTTTCTTTGTAATAGCCAAAATGGAAACAACCTCAATTAGCACCAACAAGCGAGTGGAAAAACAAATTGTGTAGTATTTCCATGCAACAGAATACTACTCACCAATAAAAAGTAATGAATTGTTGATAAATGCAACAACATGGATAAATCTTAAAATAATTATGCTATAAGAAGGCAGTACCAAAGTAAGTATATACTAAATAATTCTCTGTGTGTGTGTATATATATATATTTTTTTTTATTTTTTTTTTTTTGAGACAGCCTCCCAAGTAGCTGGAACTACAGGCATGCACCACCATGCCCGGCTAATTTTTTCTATTTTTAGTTGTTTGGCTAATTTATTTCTATTTATAGTAGAGACGCAGTTTCGCTCTTGCTCAGGCTGGTCTCGAACTCCTGACCTCAAGCAATCCTCCCACCTCAGCCTCCCAATGTGCTAGGATTACACACGTGAGCCTCGGCGCCCGGCCTCTGTTAATATATTATAAAATTCTAGAAACTAGAAACTAATATTTAGTGATGGAAGCAGAAGAAATTTCTGGAAACAATGGATACCTTCATCATCTTGATTTGGGGACTGATTTTACTTGACAAATTATCAAAACATATCAAATTGTGCACCGTAAATATGTGTAGTTGATTCTACCTCCATTGAGGTATGCCAATTATACCTCAATAAAAACTGTTAAAGAAAAAAGTTTCCTAGGAGGTGATGCTGCTGCCTGGCTTTGCCCCAGCTGTGAGCTCCCCTAGAGGTGGGTCTGCCGCCTTCCAGGGCCATGCAAAAGGGAGGATTAACTGGGAGGCCCTGGAAGAGACCCCTGGGGTCAGGAATGCCAAGTAGACAGATAGGAAGGTTCCGCGTGGCTGGTAGGGCTGAGCTTATTTCCTTCCACTGTTCCAACACATGGCATTCGTACTTCCAATGTGCCCAGCTCCTCTCTGCCTCTAGCCCCCAGATCTTCAAGGGGCTAGGGTCTCCTCATCATGCAGGTATTAGCATGGACGTCACAAGTGCCTTCACTGAGCATCATGTCTAAATTAGGTCCCAGCCCTCACCTTATCCGAAAGTTACTTTCTGTAATTCCCTGGGTTTTTTTCACTGCATGTATCACAATCAGAAATTCTTATTCATTTAGTAATTTCCCTTCATTTTTATCATCTATTCACCTCCCCCTCCTCTATGCTGTGGGCACCCCACTCAGATCCCTATCACTGGTGATGCTGATGAGTGCTGGCTGGCAAATCACAGTAGCCTCTGCCAATAACTGAGGGAAATATGGGGGAGGGTACAAAACACTGGCTTTCTTGCCTCAAGAACACCTAACTCTGGGGCCACTGGTGCTCAGTGTTCCTGATGGGATCAGGCTGAAGCTAGACCCCACTCAAGACCACACTCTAGCTCAACTTCAGCCTTCTACCCTGCCCTGCTTCCCTCCCTCCCTTCTCCTGAGAGCACTTCCTCAATAAACCACTCCAACAGGAATGCTCATCGTAGACTCTGCTTCTAGGGAACCTGACCCATGACATCCTACGTTAGCTTCATGAGGGACTAAATTGTTAATTCCCCTAGAACAAATTCTGGTCTCAGACTCTGATGACCCCCACCCCACAGGAATGCTAGCTTAATGAAGGAATATCTTCCTTAATTCCTTAAAACAGTGCCTGCAGTATAGTAAGTGCTCAATAATCACACTGAATGCAGGCAGGCGAGAGCCCAAGGTCTGTTTCACAGCTCAGCAACTGACACCCCTTCTGTTCTGGGTTGGCCTGGCTTGGAGGCATTGTGAGTCACAGCAGGTAAACAGGAGTTGAGGCTGAGATGGGGCCAGGTCTGGACAGCAGCTTGGCACCTCCACATCTTCCAGGTGAGGCACAGCATGCAGCCAGCATTATTGGGGAAGGGGCCTCTGGGAAGATGCATACTAGGATGGGCCTGGATGTGGGCTTCTGGAGAAGGCCTCCCTGAACCAGATCTAGGGGATGATACCATCCACCCTCTGCCCAGTTATATGTGAGGAATAAGTGTGTGTTGAACTAACAAAGGCATGACAGAGGGAATCCTGCCCAGCTTTCTCTTTTCACCCTCTGTGGGCGGAAGAGGAATTAAAAACATGTAGCTCCCTTTCTCACACAATGGAATGAGCACATACTAGAAGGAAAGAGGTGGATAGAATGGGATTTGTCTGTTATCTGGACCGTAGATTCCTGGAGGGTGTAGTCTGCTTGGAACAAAAGTCATGTGCACAATCCCTGTTACCTGGAGCCTTAAAGCACATGGCACATGCCCCAGGATGGCACTGAAAACATTGGACTGTGACACACACACACACATCTGTTTTCCCAGCTGGACCAGGAGCATCTTGAGGGCAGGCACAGACTGGGTTGGGACCAGACTGGCGCCCTAGTACAGAGCAGGTGCTAGTGCAAGATTGTCAAATAACAATGACAAGGGCAGTAAAGGTGTTGGCTATGCTAGCATGCCACCAGATTCTTCTCAGAATCCAAATCTAACCCTGGCTTTGTAATCCTTCAGCCGTTCCCTTACCTGCAGAATGTTCTGAGCCTGCCTGTCCACCTTCCTCTTCTGCTACTCCCAACATCAATCCCACCCAAGCTCTTCCTCACATCTGGAACATGAAAGCCTTGCTGGCTCTTCACTCTGCCTAGCAGCCCTCCACTTCCCATCCCCCACCCACCGGCACAGCCCTGCTCCTCCTTCAAGTACCATTCCCTTCTCCCCACGCATAACCCCTTCCAGGTGCAGCTCAGAGCACAGGGATGGCATATCTACCCGCGGGGCCTGACACCGAGTGCTCTTTGGGGAAGGTGGTTTCGGTGAGAATGCTGCTGGGCGCGTGTGGAGGGATGGGGGTCCTCAGCAACCAGCAGCTGGAGAGCCCCCAGTGCAGGCCGCAGGGCTGCAGCCATGTCCACTGGGCCTCGCGGTGTGAGGGGCGGCCTGTGCGGCGCAGGCTGGTCACCCGGACTCTTGCTCCCCAGCAGCGCCCCTGGCTCGCCTTCATCATTCAGGACACCGGGGCTCGAGACAAGGGTGCAGCCCGGGTCGCCGGCGTCCCCGCGGCTCCCCTCCCGGCACCTGCGCGCCCCGCGAGGCCCACCCGGCCCTCACCCTGGCAGCCTTCGAGTGCCTGGCTGCGAGCCAGGCCGGCGGCCTGTGGGAGCAGCTGCGGCGGTTCTGGGCCGACCACTGCTCCCGGCGCTTCTCGCCGCGGCGGCCGCCGCTGCGCCGCATCTCCTCCATGTCCACCTTCTACATGCTGGACCACCGGACGCGCCAGGCCGAGCTCGGCCTCAGCTACGGCGCGCCGCGCACGCGCCTCGCCGACGAGGCCTTCGTGTTCCACGGCGGCCGCTGGGTCCCGGAGGGCGAGCTGGCGCGGGCGCGGCCGCCGCTGCGCTCGCCGACCATGGCGGGCTGGAAGGCGCAGGTGCAGCGGGTCAAGAGCCAGGTGCTGCTGGAGGAAAACAACTACCTGAAGCTGCAGCAGGAACTGCTCATGGACATGCTGACCGAGACCACGGCGCGCATGCACCTGCTGGAGAAGAAGCTCAACCCCGAGCTCAGCCCGGCCGCCGCGGCGCGCGCCTGGCAGCGGAAGATGCGCAAGCGCGAAGGCGCCGGCGGCGTGCTCATGATCGAGCCGCGCGCCCTGGAGTCGCGGTGACGCAATAAAGCCCCGTCCGGGCTCGCGCGCCTCGCGCCTCCCGCGCTGGGACCCTGCCTCGCCGTGCCTGGGGCGGGCTGCGCGCGGCGGGGGGGCTGCGTGCTCTCAGCACTGTCCCTCGGCGCAGGCTGGGGCCGCACACCCGAGCAGCCTGTCTCGGGAGTGCGCGGTGGGGCCGAGGGGCAGGGTCTGTGTTCCGCCCCCCGCAGTGCGGAGGGGAGCCCGGCTTGCAACAGGCAGTGCGGGGCGAGGGGCAGATAGTGCACCCCTGCGACCTGCGGGGAACTAGGGCGAGGTCCAGACGGGGAGGAACCCGCAGCGCTCAGGGAATGGAGGGTGTGGCCCAGAGGGCGGTGAGGAAGCTGGGGTGGGAGGAAAGGGGACTTTGTCCTTGGTCCTTTAGGCCCTAGGCGAAGGAGGGTTGAGACATTGGGCCCTAGGTGAAGGAGGGTTGAGACATTGGACCCTAGGTGAAGGAGGGTTGAGACATTGGGCCCTAGGTGAAGGAGGGTTAGACTTGGGCCCTAGGCGAAGGAGGGTTAGAGACTTGGGCCCTAGGTGAAGGAGGGTTAGAGACCTGGTCCCTAGGGGATGGAGGGTTAGAGACTTGGGCCCTAGGGGAAGGAGGGTTAGAGACTTGAGTCCTAGGGGAAGAAGGGTTGAGACATTGGGCCCTAGGTGAAGGAGGGTTAGAGACTTGGATCCTAGGTGAAGGAGGGTTAGAGACTTGGGCCCTAGGGGAAGGAGGGTTAGAGACCTTGGGCCCTAGTTAGAGGCTTGTGCCCTAGGGGAAGGAGGGTTAGAGACCTTGGGCCCTAGTTAGAGGCTTGTGCCCTAGGGGAAGGAGGGTTAGAGACCTTGGGCCCTAGTTAGAGGCTTGTGCCCTAGGGGAAGGAGGGTTAGAGACGTTGGGCCCTAGGGGATGGAGGGTTAAACACGTTGAGCCCTAGGAGAAATAGGGTTAGAGACCTTGGGCCCTAGGGGAAGGAGGGTTAGAGACTTGTGCCCTAGGGGAAGGAGGGTTAGAGACTTGGGCCCTAGGGGAAGGAGGGTTAGAGACTTCGGCCCTAGGGGAAGGAGGGTTAGAGACTTGGGCCCTAGGGGAAGGAGGGTTAGAGACTTGGGCCCTAGGGGAAGGAGGGTTAGAGACTTGGGCCCTAGAGGAAGGAGGGTTAGAGACTTGGGCCCTAGGGGAAGGAGGGTTAGAGACTTGGGCCCTAGGGGAAGGAGGGTTAGAGACCTTGTGCCCTAGGGGAAGGAGGGTTAGAGACTTGGGCCCTAGGGGAAGGAGGGTTAGAGACTTGGGCCCTAGGGGAAGGAGGGTTAGAGACTTGTGCCCTAGGGGAAGGAGGGTTAGAGACTTGGGCCCTAGGGGAAGGAGGGTTAGAGACCTTGTGCCCTAGGGGAAGGAGGGTTAGAGACTTGGGCCCTAGGGGAAGGAGGGTTAGAGACTTGGGCCCTAGGGGAAGGAGGGTTAGAGACTTGGGCCCTAGGGGAAGGAGGGTTAGAGACTTGGGCCCTAGGGGAAGGAGGGTTAGAGACTTGGGCCCTAGGGGAAAGAGGGTAGAGACTTGGGCCCTAGGGGAAGGAAGGAGGGTTAGAGACTTTGTGCCCTACGTGAAGGAGGGTTGGAGACTTGGGCCCTAGGGGAAGGAGGGTTAGAGACTTGGGACCTAGGCGAATGAGGGTGTAGACTCAGAGACTAACAATCCCAGGGTAAGTGTATTTTTGTCCCAGACAAAAAGCTTTTAAAAAATTTGGGACGGCCGCCCTCACCAGACTGTTTGTCTTTTTGGAGAGTCATGTCTCTGTTACAGGCCTCCTTTTTCTCCTCCGAAGAATGAGGGGTCTCTTTGACCCACTGTAAAAATAATTTTGTTTTGCATTAGTTATCAATGTTTTATAATTTGGAGATATCCCATTAAAAAACCAGATTTCTTGTGGTCCCCTGAAAAACCAGGAAGACTTGGCCACCCTGGACCTTCATTCTGTCTGGCGGTGGTTGCCTTTAGCTGAACCGTTGCTATAACCTCTTGGCCAGCTTCACATCCACCAGGGGCCCATGGCAGATCTGTGGGGTGCACCCACCCACGCCCGCACATGCACATGAAGTATTACATGAGTTGTTGAGAAAGGGAGTGTATTGTACCTGTGAAAGATACTTAAGGATACAGAACGAAGATGGGGCCACTGGTCCCTGCAATCTGCAACCTTCCACCCGAATGTAGACAAACCATTTGGACCATTTGGTATTCAAGACAACGTAAGACCTGGCACGGTGGCTCATACCTATAATCCTAGCACTCTGGGAGGCTGAGGTGGGAGGATTTGCTCAAGGTCCAGAGTTTCCGAAACCAGCCTGAAGAAGGCAAGACCCCGTCTCGACTAAATAAGAATTAAATTGGACAACTTAAATATATATAGAAAAAATTAGCCAGGCATGGTGGTGCTGCCCTGAGTCCCAGCTTCTCCGGAGGATTGCTTGAGCCCAGGAGTTTGAGGTTGCTGTGAGCTAGGCTGATGCCACGGCACTCTAGGCGGGGCAACATAGTGAGACTCTGTCTCAAAGGAAAAAAAAAAAGACAATGTTGTAAATTCTGCAGGATTGGGACCCTACCACCACAAGAAAATGTGGGTGTCTTTCCTCAGCCTGGCTTGGTTTCAGGAGTAGATTAGGGATTACAAAACCACCATTTCCTGTAAGAATGTGGTCTTATTTATTAATTCAGCAAAACACAAGACATGTCATTAGGCACTAAGCTTAAAAATGACTTGAGAGATATTCTTTTGTATTTTAATCCTGTATTTAATAGGGATTAAGTAAATAACCTAATTATAATGGTTGTGAAATAAGATTTCCTTAAAAAATAGGTAATAGCTGGGCATGGTGGATCATGCCTGTAATCTTAGCACTTTGTGGTGGGGGGATGGCTTGGGGCCATGAGACCAGCCTGAGCAAGAGTGACCCCATCTCTACTAAAAGTAGAAAAATTAGCTGGGCATAGTTGTGCATGTCTGTAGTCCCAGCTACACGGGAGGCTGAGACAGGAGGATCGCTTGAGCCCAGGACTTTGAGGTTGCAGTGAGGCTATGATGATATGATGTCTCCACGGCACTCTAGCCCAGGTGACAGAGTAAGACTTTGTCTCCCCCCCCAAAAAAGCAACACATGAGAAAAAAAATCAAGCACAAAATGTGCCAGTAATGGAGAAGCCAAACACAAAGGACCACATATTGTATGATTCCATTTATAGAATATATCCAGAATTCCCAGGGGCAGTGGCTCACACCTGTAGTTGGGAGGCTCAAGTGGGAGGATCCCTCGACTCCAGGAGTTCTAGGCCAGCCTGGGCAACATAGCAGGAACCTGACTCTTGAAAATAAAAAAGGATATCCATAATAGAGCCACAGGAACAGAAAGGTTAGGTTACCAGGAGATGGGAGGAAGGAGTTGCTTAATGGAATTTCCTTTTGGGACGATGAAAAATGTTTCAGAGGCCAGGCGCCGTGGCTCACGCCTATAATCCTAGCACTTTGGGAGGCTGACACAGGTGGATTGCTCCAGGTCAGGAGTTCGAAACCAGCCTGAGCAAGAGCGAGACCCTGTCTCTATTATAAATAGAAAGAAATTAATTGGCCAACTAATATATATAGAAAAAAAAAGAAAAATGTTTCAGAACTACAGTGGTAATTGATGCACAATATTGTAATGTTACTAAAAGACACTGATTTATACCCTTTAAAACAGTAAATATTTTTATGTGAATTTTACCCTAATAATAGAAAAGTAAAGCAGGTGCTTATATCATCAAAACATAAAGGCCGGGCATGGTGACTCACGCCTGTAATCCTAGCACTCTGGGAGGCCGAGGCAGGCAGATCAGTTGAGCTCAGGAGTTCGAGACCAGCCTGAGCAAGAGTGAGACCCCATCTCTACCAAAAATAGAAAAAATTAGCTGGGTATGGTGGTGCATGCCTATAGTCCCAGGTACTTGGGAGGCTGAGGCAGAATGATTGCTTGAGCCCAGGAGTTTGAGGCTGCTGTGAGCTAGGCTGACACTACAGCACTGTAGCTGGGCAACAGAGTGAGACTCTGTCTCAAAACAAGGCTGGCATGGTGGCTCACGCCTGTAATCCTAGCACTCTGGGAGGCTGAGGCGGGCGGATCGCTCAAGGTCAGGAGTTTGAAACCAGCCTGAAGAAGAGCAAGACCCTGTCTCTACTATAAATAGAGAGAAATTAATTGGCCAACTAATATATAGAGAAAAAATTAGCCGGGCATGGTGGCGCATGCCTGTAGTCCCAGCTACTCGGGAGGCTGAGGCAGCAGGATTGCCTGAGCCCAGGAGATTGAGGTTGCTGTGAGCTAGGCTGATGCCACAGCACTCACTCTAGCCTGGGCAACAAAGCGAGACTCTGTCTCAACAAAACAAAACAAAAAAACATAAAGTAAAAAGTCAATGTGGTATGCCCACATAGCAAAATCATAAAGGTTCCCAAGAATGCCTGAAGCTTAGGGAATATTGCTTTGGCCAGAATACCTGAAAACAAATAGTCTAGAGTAGAGAAAGGGATGTGCCCTGCCAAGGTGGCATCAGCCAGCAGGGAGCCCCACAGCATGTGCCCTGTTTGGAGAGGCGCATCTGTGGATAAAGGCCTGGATCAGATGGAGTAAGATGATATTTTGAGATTTCTGACTTTGTTCTTTCTGCTCTGGAATTTAATTCCCTGCTTGAGGCAGCCAAATCCATGCCCCAGAAGGAAGTGACAGAGCTGAAAGCAGAACTGAAGACTGGTTTTCTCCTCCTGCAGCTCAGAATCTTCTGTACACCTGAGCTATGCAAAGATATTTTGGGGTTTGAGGAGGTAGTCAAAAGGCTGTAGGTTTGTCCATAGCAAGAGGGGAGCTCCATTAGCTCTCCGAACTTGGAAAAAAATCAGTTCTTGATCCCACATGGTTCCAGCTACTAACTCAGTTCTCTGCTCCCCTTCACAACTAAATTCCAAAAAGTTGTTTATATTCCAGTCTCCAAAGCCTCCCCTCCTGTTTG